CAGACGCTCCTCTCAATTTCCGTTTTTGGCCCGAAAAAGCTGCCAAGATCCATCCCGCCGAGCTTGTCCTCGCCCCTGCCCCGACAACCTGCCGAAGTTGTCACCGTTTTTGTCACCGGGTCTAACACGCCAACCTGCCGAACGTCCTGAGAAGGGTTCAAAATCTCGGCAATATTGAATCAAAGTTGAATCGACTTGAAACAATATTGGTTCATTAATGGGCAGCCCGGTCGTCGGGCAGGGCACTGAGCCAAGGGAGCTTCTTTTGGTGGAAAAAGCAGCCCGCCGAGCTTGTCACCGCTTGTCACCGCTTGTCGCCGGGGCGCGTTTTTGAGTGGAAAAAGCAGCCCGCCGAGCCGGTGACGTCGACGTCGACGCATGCCGGAAAACCGTGCCGAAACCCTGCAAAAACGAGCTGTCACAGAAAGGGTGGCAGACCGGTGACAAACGGTGACAAGCTCGGCGGGCTGCTTTTTCCACCCAAAAGCGCCCGGTGACAAACGGTCTGTGACAAGCGGACAGGCATGTCACCGCCGGGATTCGAGCCCCGGAATGCGCCTGCTAACTCCAAAGCGGCGTATTCTTTGTGATCGTGACACTGCAGAGCAAAAGAGGTGCGCCTGAGTGATTGAGCCCTTTTGCCTTTTAGAGCTTCGCTCCGGAAATGCCGACCTTTTGTTAGGTGGCATCCATCTTTGGCTCAAGTTACCCGTTTAAGACAGCTATTGCATTTTCTGGCTGACCACTGCAAAAAAGCACCCTTTTTGACATACACCACTTTGGGTGTATGCGTACACCGCTTTTGGTGTATACGTGCGCCGCTTTCGGTGTATGGTTTTTGTCCTTTTTTGGACAGCCCCAAATCAATTGTGTGTTGAGAATAAATAGAAGAAATCGTAGAAATGTAGAAGATGAGATCTTAATATTTCTAGGTGTTTATGAAATTCAACCTTATGATTATGTTAAACAGTTCTTTAAATCAGTAAGAAAAGTATGAAATGATAGACCGCATATTATGGATGTTGGTGTATCAAAAAAAGAAGGAGAAGATGTTAAAGAAAATGTCAAATTATTTATTGAAAGTAAAAAGTTTAATGTTAAAAACACAGTTAGAGATATTACGATTATTTTTAAAATGATGTATGAAAGAAGTAAAGAACATAGAATTTTGTTTCATCATCAGTTAAATTATTATCCTGAACTTGAATTATAAAATTCCATCTGCCCAACATTGCCTATAATATTTCTACAAAATTTATGATAAAATATTGTTACATAATTTATCATCATGTTTGGAGTACTTTTATATATATATATATATTTTGACAATTTATTTTTGTATTTTTTGATTTTTTTTAAATGAATGAACTTAACCTTCCCCATCCCTTATACCATCCAATGACCATATCCTATGAACTACCCTATACTCCTATTTCCACTCCAGCATCCTAACAATTACAAGAATGATGGAATAGAAATGAAAAAATGTTTTTTTTGAGATTGAGGCTGTTATGAGATGTTTTGAGTGGAAATAGGCATAATGAATAAGGATGACAAATTGAATAGTGAACAATAGTTGAAAATGGTGATTTGGCGTGTGGGGGGGGGGCTTTCCACGGGTGGCAAAAAAATGGGGAAGGTCTATTCTGACTCATTTGCCCGATCAAAACGGACACATAGGCGTACGGAACGCCCAGGTTGGGCTCCAGAAGCTCTGTGATGCTGCTTGACAAAATGACAGAGGGTTACTACACAGTTGTCGGGTCTCTGGTATGCTCAGGTCACTGGAGAAGATGGGCAAACGATCCCTTTCGAAGATCGCGCTTTCCGCAAGTCATATGCTATTGTTTGCCTCAGTCTTCGCCATCTTGCGAGTTGGGCCGTGAGCCCCTTGTCAGAGGAATGTGGCGGATACCGTTGTAGGTCTCCCAGTTCTCTGGGCTAGGCCCACATCATCCTTTACTGCTTTTTTGGCTTTCTCTGATTGAAAGTCCAGCTCTTCCTGCGATTTATAAGGACAATGGCTTGAGCAGCCACTGGCGGTGCTTCACTTTCCTTGGATCGATAATATTTGGCAAGGCTGTTTCGGGATGACTGGTACTTCTGACTTTCGGGGCCTTGTGATTGTGCGTTGTGCGCAGCAACAACTCTCCGTGGCTTGTGAGAAAAGAAACCTGGTGTGCTGTCCCTTTGTGGGGCCTAGTGTTTCACACTCTTTCTGCCTTTATCTCTTTTTTTGTTTTTGCCGGTGATGGATCCTTTTTGTGGCACGTGACTCTCTGTTTAGTCGACCGGCGATTGTGCTGAAGGCGGCGCGAGGGAAAAAACCCAGTTGCAAACCCACAGGCACACGATGTCGTGGAAGATCCGTTGTACGCTGAGAACTGAAGTAATGTCTCCAGCAGCTTGCAAAAACATTGGCGCAAACAAGAATGAACCTTGTCCGTGGCAAAAGCGTCCAGGCCACGGTCGGCGGCGTCTGGTCCAACGGCAAGTGCTTCCGCTCAAAGGCATGGCCAGCAAACGTGAAGAGGGCGTCTGCCCAACCAAATGAACTTCCGCGCAGGGCTTGCATTGTTTGCAGCTGCTTTTGCCGCCAAGCGTTGAAAGCTGCCAGGAAGAGTGCAGCAACTCAGCACTTTCGTTGCCAGAGCCGGCGCACGCCAGCTCAAAAGGCAGCAAAGTTGCCTGCTCCAAGCCGGATTTTCCCGCGCGGGGAGCCGAAAGTGAAACACCAGCCATTGAAAACAAAGCCAACAGCTTCCATTGAAGACGTTTGTGTTGCTTTTCTACAGGGGGGGGACTATCCTCGCCCCTTGTGTCCAGACGCGCGCCCTGGTCACAGTGACCTTCCAAGCAACCCGAAAAGAGGCGTGCGCCTCTGTCGACTTTGGGGTTTGGGAGAGCTAAGGCTGGGAGGAGTGCGCCAGGCACTTGACAGGCAACGCAACTGCATGAGAAAAACATATATTGGTTTTAGAAAACTGAATAAAGTATCACCATCACATGCCGGTGACATCAACCTGTAAGCCAGAAACATGTTGCGGGGAGCTAAAAAAGTGTCCGCCAAATTAGCAAACGCCACGAGGTTGAGAAAGAAATCCTTGCATGCATCTATGCGGCTGTCGTACTTTGCAAGGTGAAGGCTGACATTTTATAAGCGGTCTTTCAGTTTTTTGTTTTGGTTTGTGTTTGTCCCGCTGTTTGCGATTTCTCGCTCGTATTTTTCCACGGCGCCTTTTGCGTTGTTTCGTTTGCTTTGTCAAAAACATCTGCCTTCTATCAATGCGAATTGATTTGATTTATGCAAACCTTCGGCTTCTTGTAAAGTGGAGTTGTTGTTTGTTTTCTCTATATTTTTGTTTGTGATGAACATGCAATCATGTTAAGGCTGGCGCGCTAAGACAAAACAATGAAAAAGGCAAAACTTGATGCTTGCAGTTAACTTAAAGCGCCGTCAAAAGCGCAAAGATGTCGTGATTGAGAATGATCTTTCTGTCCTTTGACGGATTGGATTAAGGTGCACTTGTTAGAAGGGCGTTTGTCGTTTGATGCCTGGTTGCTTGTAAATCTGCAAATTGCAGATCTCGAGTAAGGCGATTAGGCTTGATAACACAGATTGGGGTGTTTTTTCTTCAATTACGACTTCAATTTTCGTCAGACATTTGTGGACTGACAATTTGCTGCGTTTGGGTTGTGGAGTGCAATATAAATGATTGTTAAACGGGAAGGTGCGTTTGTGGGCAAACCACAAAAGGCTCCTTAAAATGTGTGTTTGTCGGAGACTCGATTTAAGTGGTTGGTGGAACTTTGCCAGGGCCTTGCGCTCCAGAAAGGCTGTTAATGGAATTTTCCATGCCCCAAAAACAGTCAATGCCCTTCTTATTTGCACGAACTAACATGTTTGCGGGATCAGACTTTCTCGCACTTGCCATTGCGATGCAACTTCAAGTGCAAGAGCATGTCGGCTTCGTGAGGCGTTTTTGGCTCTGGTCCGCAACGGCATCTCGATCTGAACCCCAAAGATGGCGGGCTCCAAAGGTGGCGCGTTGCTCCTTTCGCTGCTGGCGCTTTGCCTGGCACCGGCCTTCGTGCCGTCCGCCCCCAGGGCCGCCCCTGCGGCGCTCTCGGCCGCCGTGGCGGCGGCGCCGCTGGCGGCGAACGCAGCGGCGGCTTGGGCAAGTGGGGGGCGGTCGGAAATGGGCGGCGGGTGCTGGGTTGGTGATCCAAATGGCTTCACGGTTTTTTTGGAAGATGTGGGGGGGGCGGGGTTGAGGAGTAGAAGCAAGGGCAAGGTGAGATGAACTGCAACTAGCATCCAGATGCAATCGAGTTTCATATTTTTTTTGAGTTTGCAGCTCAGGATGAGTACTTGAACTACAACATGACCGGGGAGTACACGCCCTTCATGATCATCGGGTACTTCGGATTGACCACCTTCCTCACGGCCTTCGCCTTTGGTTCGTACCTGATCCTCACCAAGCTCAAGATCATCTAAAGGAGTTTTTCCGAAGCTGAGGCTGCTTCAGTCTACCAGACTGAGCCAAATCATAAGATATGGTCAAAAAGCAACTCATGTGCATATGCCTGACATTTGCACAGTTGAGCAGAATGATCCATTTCTGAAGCATCTAAGTGCTCATGGCTTGAAATGGCTCAAGGCGCTTGAGAATACAAGACAAAACACGTATGTTTGGAAGGGGTCTGTGGCTTCAGTCCAACTTGCCTGTAGACATCAACGCCTTTGAGGCGACCCCAAGTTCAACCCCGCGCAGGCAGGCGGGTGCAGCCTTACAACCTCACAGCCTCACAGCCTCCCAGCCTCACCACCCACCTTTGAGCCGGCAACTGGCAGCCCCAAAATTCTCGGACGGCTTGTGAACATGGCCACCCTGCGCACGGGTTAGTTCGTTGGATTCTCGGCAACACTTGGACCAGATGAGCCAATCACGGCCTTGTCAGTTGCAAGTCGGTCATCGGAACGCAAAGCTCTTTTGGCCATGGCGGATGTCGACGAGCATCTCGGCTCTCAAAACGGTGGGTCCCCCCGCCTCCCACTGAATCGGGTGCCTTTGCGCTGCGCAGGACAGGTCATGTTTTTCAGGAAAAAAAATAAAGCAAAATGGTGGGTTTCCTTTCGGTTTTCCTTTCAAGCAACCCGGTCAGAAATAGGAAAAGACAGACCCATATGTTGGTCACGGCAGCAATGCCAAAGCCTGCCTTTCGGCTCGGCGCTCGGCGCAGTACAGGGTCGTTTTGACATGCCTTTGACACTCTCACCTGTTTCCAGTGAGAGTGGTTGATGGACGGCGGTGAGTTTCAGTCAGTTTTGCTCGATCATGTCTATGTGAACGAGCGTTTCAAACGAGGGAATCAGCAATAGGGAGGTGCCAACCCCCATTCCAAGTTCCACCAACGGTGAGGTGGGGCGCTTTGTTTGCAGCCGGGCAATGCGCCTGGCCTTGGGGGTTCATTGATGCTAGTTGGATGGCCGAACTCATGACTTGGCCCGTTTGGACCTTGCCCTCTCCATGAACGGAGTCTTTGAATTCAGCATCACCTGAATTGGCAGGGTCAGCGTCGCAGGTCTGGGTGTGGCGAGTCCGAATGTTTAGAGACTTTTGGAGCCACGCTGGCGTGGAACGCCAATCCAGGCTGGTATTACATAAATTAAAATCAGGGGATCTCAAAGATGGCTGTGGGTACCTAAAAAAAGAAAAAACACGAGGCGCCGCCTGGTCAGGCGCACCCCCGAGTTCTTCATGCCCTGCCTTCGGCAGGGTGCCGCTGGGCTGCTCCCGCTGCATCTCCAGCCAAATCCTTGCAACATGGAGGCGATCGACGTCCACTTCAATTGGGCACTTCCGGCTGGCCCTTGGTTTCTTTTTCCTGAAAACTTTCGAGGGGGTTCTTGGTGGCCGCTGGTTTCCTTTTTCGGGGAAGTGATCCATGTAGCAACTCGCCCTGGAGACGCTCTTGGTGCTTGCCTTTTTGGAATGGCTGATTGCAAAGCATGGGAGTGAGTCCGAAAGTGTCTGAGCATTGAATTTTGAAGTTTACTTAGAGTGGGCAACACTGAAGAAGCCAAGCAAGCAGTTCCCTTTTCGCACACAAAGGCGGCGAAAGGTTGTTTGCAGGTGTCAAACTTTCATCCTCAGAGAAAATCTATCATTTTATTCTCCTCTTGGGTAGACCCTTTCCCCACGGGAATGGCAACCCCAAGTTACATATTTCTTTTCGGTCGTTTATGTGCCAACCTTGCATCCTTTGGGTAAATCTGTTTACTCGCCAGCTGCCACGGGGGTAGGTATTTTAGTCATGTACCAGCTTTCTTTTCAGGAGTAGCTGATAAAAATCCGCCAGGTTTTCCATGTTGCTAACTTCTAGTCTACGGAGGTGGATTAACTATGCCCCATGTTCTTTGAGGAATCTTAATATTGTGCTTGTTTCCTCGCAAGTTGACGCAGTCTCATTTGAACCCTACCAGGTGCGCATCCAGCTCGAGCGGTCCGGCTTGGCCTTCCTCAGGCTTGCTAGCGACCGGCTGGCTGACCGGCGACAGGACAGACAGACAGACAGACAGACCGAAAAAAACAAACCCGCGAGAAAAAAAAAAAAAAAAACTAGTCGCACATGCAGAGCAAAGACGGCCTTTGGGTTCAAAGCCCCAAATGCCATACAAGTAAGTTGAGATGGTTTAGCGGGCCCAGGGTTTTGGGTGAATTCTCGTCAAGCCCTAATTCCGTTTCTTGGAGATCCGAAGCCTTTCGGCAGATGGGTTTGTCCCGTCAAGTGGGGTTGTTTCTGTTGCCCTTTAAGCCCCCCTCCCCCGCCCCCCCAAAAAAACACACACACACACACACCCATTCTAGACCCAGGCAAGAGGGGCAATGAAGTGGCCTTATCAAAAAGGGCCACTTCCTTACGGGACTCCAGTAACGCCTGTGGGGGAAACCTTTGGGACCTCATTTAGGGGGCATGAGAATCCGGATCTGGCAAGCCTTGGGACGGGGGATGCTTAAAAGTCACGCCCATTTCAATTCCATCGGAGCACCAAGTTTATGGAATCCCGAAGCCGGAAGCCTGGTAGGTACAAGAAGGGTGGGTAGAGTCCTAGAGTTGCTTGAAATTCCCCAGAGTTCCTTGAGGTTCCTTAAAATTCCCTAGAGGAACCTCCCTTGAACCAACCACCAATCCCCTTTTCGTCGCCCGGACCGCTGCCGTGGCACGGGGCCTTCTGCTTCTTCGTGCGCTGCAGCAAGCTCAGGTCCTGAACCTACGACTCAGCTTTTCATCCGAAACCAAGTAGTAGGTATTGGCAAACTGGGCGGTTCTCCCAACAAAAATTAAAATAAGAAACACCACAAAGGAGACCCCTTGCCGAACCCCAAGTAAGGATTAAGGATTACCTTAGCCTAGGCAAATACACCTAAGACATCGGCATCGCATTCTCCGAAAAAAGAACTGCCAACCTCCGGGTTGAGAAGGCCGAGCGCCCGGGAGCGTTTTTTTTCTTCTTTTTTTGTCGCCAAACAGGTCGGTCCAGAGGAGAGCGCCAAAATTCCATCGCCTGACCTCGCCTTGAGGCAAGACGTTGCTGTGGAAGGCGCCAAGCGTTTTGTGACAAAGCTTTCTTTGGTAAGGCAATCCCGTAGTCTGCCTCCTGGCCCGCTTCGGTATCGCAAACCTTGCAGGATTCCTTCGAAAGGGCTTCCCTTAGGGTGGCGATGTTGCGGTTTGTTGTGCGGAAGATCTTCCGCGAAAGCTATGGAAGATTCAGCAAGCCAAAAATTGCAGCTTTCCCTGTAAGCCAACAAAAAAGGGAACCTTTAAAAAGCGCATGTCCAAATGGGACGACTCGAACTAGCCCGAAAGACAGTTCTTTGCTTTGTGCGAAACAGGTAACCAAAGACATGGCCCCACTTGCAACGTCAAAAGGGGTCCAGGGAGGGGGCTGTTCCCTTTTCTCCTGGGTTGGGCATTGGTTTGTTGTTTGGCTCGGGCCTTGGAACATGGATCATTTGCATCCTTCGCCCAAATTCGGGGAGTTTCACAATCCATTTTTTGTTTGGGGAGAACTGGCTGCACCCTCCCACCCCGTGCGAAGCCCTCCGTTCCCTTCAGCCCAGCCGCGTTTCGAGGACTTCGGGGGGGAGATGGCGGTGGAGGAGCCCCCCGTGACCATGGTGGACGCCTTCGAGGAGCTGCCCACAGGCGATTTTCTCGGGGCGGTGATTGTTGGGCGCAAGGTGTGGGGGGGTTCGGTGGTTTTGGTTCAGGTTCGTGGTCAGGAAATCAACTTTGAACTTTGGAGAAACACCCTCCATCATTTGGTGTTTGGTGTGGTGAAAGGCAATTGATTGTGAATTTTTGCTGGTGGACCCTTTTCTCTGGGAGGACACAAATACAAGCATGCCAACGTCGACAGGGTCCATGGGCCGCATTTACCTCCCCCCAACCGCCATGCGCTCGACAGCCGCGCGCGCGCGACATCAACTGCCCCTCGCAAATCACCGGTGTTGAGGCCGCCAGGAACCAACCCCCCGCGCGCGACAAGGGGGGATGTTGCTTTTTTTCTCCCATGTTGGTGTCTTATTTTTTTGTGCGATAGGTGTCGTGGTCGTCCAGGGTGCTTTTCAATTCAAGCTGGAAAGTGGGAAGAGATGAATACCCAGAATGGCAACGGTGTCGTGGTTTTCCATTTAATTCCACTCGAAAAGGGTGTCCAATCTGATCTCCTCCTCGGTATGGAGCCCCAACCTTTGAAAGGGGACTCAAAGGGGAAGCCGTGCAAGCCCGGTTCTAAGGACACACACACACGCACGTATTGGCAAAAGGAAAAGTCCCCGCACTTTCCAGGGGCTGGACGCTTTTTGGCATTTGAGTCTTCAAATGGAGGGGATTGCTCGCCGATTTGGATATGATTTGCATGTGTTCAGACAGAAGACCTGCCCTTTGTGGATGGTTTGCAAGGCAACCGGTAGCCACGGCCATGGCTTCGGGCGTCGCTTCGATGTTCGGCCTGTCGGCCGTGGGCTTCGGCGGCCTTGAGGCCTGTCGGAGCTGAGCGTACGCCGGCAATCGCTGCAGAAGCTGGAGCGGGTGCTCGTGCAGCAGGTGGCGCCTCTCCGAATGTGGGGTGCGAGGCATCTTCTTCTGGGGTGCGAGGCAGCTCAAGGTCAAGCAAGGCGGGGTAGGCGTGAAGCAGCAAAGCAAAGCGAGGGGCGAACTGGTCGAACGGTGAGAGGCTGTAATGGATTGGGCTCGTTGAAGGGGTAGGCTGGGACTTCTGTCAGGCCTTCCCGCAGAAAGCTTCGATCCCAACCCTTCCATGGGGGGCGGCTTGGGTTTTTGCCCTTCTCCATCTCGAGGCGAGCTGTCACAGAGCTGTCCGGGCCTTGAGCTGAGGACAGCTTAGCCACGGACATCATCGATGCGGTGATGGATGCGCTGCTGAAGCCACTGCTGAAGCGATTGAAGGACCCATGTTTGTGCCCGAATCACTTTGTTTGGTTGTTCCTGGGTCAGCATTGTGCTTGTTGCGCCGGCTTTGTAAGAATCCGGGTCTTACCTGGTGTTCCTTTCACAACCCATGGGATGTGTAGTCACGGCCATTTCGCCTCCCAATGGAATATGAAATTGACCGGTTTCCCCCCTGAGTGGATATAAGCAAGACCCGACAAAGGCCCCAAGTGGCTTTTTCATGCTTGGTTTCGAACATCCAAAAAGGGGTCCACGTGGGCAGCCCTTTCCGTTTTTCGTTTTGTGAAAGTCTTAGAGGGACACCGAAGGGACACTAACCACTGCGGCCGCCAAACCAGGGAGCACCGCCGCAGGGACCAATGGCAGGTTGGGTCAGCTGACCCTGTCCCTCCAGCCTTGCCAAATTAAAGATGCAGCGCCCAAGCAAATTTTCGGCATGTCGCCATTGTTTGGACTTCCAAGGCTCTATATTGTGGCTTTTGTTGGGTCCGCAATCCGATGCTCGCCCCTGTCTTTGACCTTTCAGCTGTTTTTCTTCTGGGCTATTCCTCTCCACGAAAGACACCCCCTTTGGGATCCTTGTTGGGCGAAGCCACTCCAAGGGACACCTCCCCTTGTCGCGAGGACCGGAGCGCCTTGGGCTGGATTCGCGCACCCGCGGGGGATCGATCCGCAGGGCATCCGCGGGACGTCTGCGGGGGGGGGGGGCACCCGGGTGCACCCGGAGGTGGATGTGTGGCTGGCTCGCTTTGTCAAGGGAGCCGGGCGGCGGGCAAAGTGGTTTGGTGGGCTTGGAAGGGAAGTTGGACAAGGCCGAAATTTTTGGGGAGGGCCAACTGCATTGGTTCGGAGGAACGCCGCTGCAAAATGGTGGGTGAAGATTCAATTTGGGACAGAGACCGTAAAAAAACCCTGTTGTGGATTCATGGTAGCTGGGTAGAACTGCCCCGTAAACCATCTTAAACCAACCCGAAACCAACCCCAAACCAACCATAAACCAACCCGAAACCAACCTAAACACACCCGACACCCATCCTAATTTAACTCTAAACCAACTCTAAACCAACTCTAAACCAACTCTAAACCAACTCTAAACCAACCTTAAAACCTTAGCCTAAACCAACCCTAAACCCAGACTGAAACCATCCAAAACCAACCCGAAACCAGCCTAAACCCACCCCCAAACCGGCCCGAAACCCAAACAAATCAACACTTGGGAGGCAAAGCCAAGCTTCCAACCTTTCAGCTACCCCTCCCACCCTGAACCCACCCTAAACCAACCATAAACCTGACTTAAAAGGGCCCTAACCCAAAAACCACAGGAAATCCTTGGGCAGTTTCTTTCAAAATCGGGTCTACGATTTTTGTGGTTGCACTGCCATTTTCTTGCAATCAGTCTGTTTTGCCTATTACGATTGCTGCTTGGCCAATAAAAGAAGGAATGGCGGTCCTTGTGGCAAACACCGCGTGAGGCGTTCATCCAAGGAGCTCCAATTCTTTTTGAGACCTTTCGGGTCCCTGGTCTATTAGTTGGTTGCCGGGTTGGGAATGAACCGGTTGCACGGCTAAAGTCAAAGGCCCTACATCTTCCCCAGCCTGGTGGCTCGCTTGGGCTCGGAGGACGCGCACAGGGGAGCCGGGGCTGGACGCCTCTGCTCAGGGATCGTTGCGCTCACTTCAAGACTGGTTGGGTCACGTGGTGTTGAGACAAGCCCCTCAGTGCTGCAAATTGTTGGCTCTCACCCGCGGGAATTTGTCGGTTTCCCCTTCAGAAGGCCCGTTGAAGGACCCCCTTTGCATCTTTGGCATCAAAAGGGACTCCATTTGGGGCCACTTCTTTGTCTGCGTTGGATGAGCAAACGAGCGGAAGGAGAAGTGAGATGAGCTTCCCCCCGGGCCAAACGGAGCCTGCGCATTTCAAAAACGGAGCATGCGTTTCCCACAAACGGAGCATGTTTCTCACCAAACGGAGCCAGCTCATCCCAAAAACGGAGCATGCGTTTCCCAAAAACGGAGCATGTTTCTCACCAAACGGAGCCTGCTCATCCCAAAAACGGAGCCTGTTCATCCCAAAAACGGAGCATGCGTTTCCCAAAAACGGAGCATGTTTCTCACCAAACGGAGCCTGCTCATCCCAAAAACGGAGCATGCGTTTCCCAAAAACGGAGCATGTTTCTCACCAAACGGAGCCTGCTCATCCCAAAAACGGAGCATGCGTTTCCCACAAACGGAGCATGTTCTCACCAAACGGAGCCTGCTCATCCCAAAAACGGAGCCTCTCATCCCAAAAACGGAGCATGCGTTTCCCAAAAACGGAGCATGTTTCTCACCAAACGGAGCCTGCTCATCCCAAAAACGGAGCCATGCGGAGCCTTTCCCAAAAACGGAGCATGTTTCTCACCAAACGGAGCCTGCTCATCCCAAAAACGGAGCATGCGTTTCCCAAAAACGGAGCATGTTTCTCACCAAACGGAGCCTGCTCATCCCAAAAACGGAGCATGCGTTTCCCAAAACGGAGCATGTTTCTCACCAAACGGCCTGCTCATCCCAAAAACGTTTCTGTTTCTCACCAAACGGAGCCTGCTCATCCCAAAAAACGGAGCCTCTCATCCCAAAAACGGAGTAGGAGCCTGTTCATCCCAAAAACGGAGCATGCGTTTCCCAAAAACGGAGCATGTTTCTCACCAAACGGAGCCTGCTCATCCCAAAAACGGAGCATGCGTTTCCCAAAAACGGAGCATGTTTCTCACCAAACGGAGCCTGCTCATCCCAAAAACGGAGCCTCTCATCCCAAAAACGGAGCATGCGTTTCTCACCAAACGGAGCCTGTTTCTCATCCCAAAAACGGAGCATGCGTTTCCCAAAAACGGAGCTTCCCAAAGTCGGTCCCCAAAGTCGGTGACAGATTTCCCAAAAATCGGTGACAGATTTCCCCAAAATCGGTGGCAGATTTCCCAAAATCGGTGGTAGACCCGAAATCGGTGGCTGATTTTCCCAAAGTCGGTGGCCGATTTTCCCGTCGGTGGCCGATTTTCCGAAAATTGGTAACAATCCACGGCAGAAGCAGGTTTTGTTGTTTCTCAGAACGGAACCATTCTTTTTAGAGAGATGTCAATCAGTCAATTATCACGATGACATTTATGGCCCAGAGGTACATGAGGTAGGTTCTCATGTAGTCAGTTGCATGTTGTACATTCAAGTCAATGCCAGAGCATGATCCAATCACTGCTTTGGCTCAAGTGCTGAAAACAGCGCGTTGCACGCGCTAACCCCAAGGTTAAGGGAGAGGTCGCAGTCACGGAGGGGTTCGTTCCTTTTAAGGTCCCGGGTTCCCCCGTTGTTGACAAAACTGTGTTTCCCTCTCCTTTGAGTGGTTATCAGCCGTAACGCTTTTCGGGTAAACAAACCCTTCCGTGACTGCGACCTGTTGGTCGCACATGGAAGCCGGCCCTCACCGCGGCACTCGCGGTGGGAAAGGGCCGCGTGCCCGCTTATTCAATACTCTGCAACAGATCGTCGTCGACGAGTACAAGCGGCAGAACAGACGATTCCGGTGGATCAGGTTTGCGGACGCCTCGAAGCAACAGGTCGAGGCGCTCTTTTCCTGGCGTGAGTCATTGGATAGTTGGCACCTGTGGAATTTTGACCAAGAGGCCTTCGACGTGATCCAGGCCGCGGACAACGCTTATCAGCAGCGTCTCGCATCGGTTGAAACCACAGGTGTGGTCTTGCCGCAAGGTGTGCCATCTCAGAATCAAGCCGCAGCCTCAGGCGCGGCGGGAGCAGCGAGCAGTGCAGCGGACTGGCTACGTCCTCCGACGCCTCCTTCAGCTTCCTCCTGGCTGCAAGATTCGCGCACTCCTTTGCCTCGCATCCGGCCATCTGCAGAGGAAAGACAAGCCGCCAAGTCAACGCTTCGCGGGGTGTACGCTAAAGCTGCGGAAACGCGGCGGGAGAGCAGCAGGGAACGGTCAACACAAAGATCGAGGTCCCCATCGCCCCGAAGGTCGAGGTCTCCATCATCGACTCCGAGACGAGGACCGACTGCTGCTACCCCTGTGGGACAACGGGCGCATAGTGTTGAACCCGCGCTTGCGCGGGAGGGCAGGCCATCCAGGACTTCCCTTGCCACACGGCCCATCGTTTTGGCTCCACAGAATAGCATATACCCTGTGACTAGATTTGACGAGCGCGGCACCTGGGTACTTGTTCGGGAGGCTTCACAGCCACGTGAGGCGGCATCTCATCGGCGAGCGCAACGGACGTCTGGGCAACTCCGTCAGGCCGACCCGTATTTGCTCGCGGACGAGACGTGGAGAGATCCCCCAAGAAGATCATCCACGAGCTCGCGATCACGATCTCCTGATCGACGCCCGGCGCCGGCGGAGCACTTCCGCCTCGACGCCTACAGCTCGGAAGAGGAACCTCCGCAAGACGCGGAATCCATCAGAACGGGCAGGGCAGCCTACGTGCCTCGGCGCGTATACGAGGCGCCAACTCACACTGAGCCCATCGCGTTGCACAGCCGGAGAATTGGAGCAGTTCAACCGCCGCCACCAAAGGCCGCACCAAAGGTCATTTTTGGCAGCAAGCCTCCATTGCCCAAGGAAATCCCCAGGGCAGTTCTTCGGTACCGGCAAAAGCAGATATTCCGAGGAAATCACCGCCACGAGCAAGATCTCCTATTCGGACTCAGAGTGCATTCGGGTACAAGGCGCCTCCGCGAGGTTTGAACAAGGCCGAACCCAGAAGCAAATCGAGCTCAAACCCGCCACAATTCGGGTACATCGTCAAGCCGCCACCTCCGCAGGTCGTTCAAGCAGCTGCTGCTAGCGCTGCAACTTCCGAGGCTGGCTCACGCTTTCGATCGCCACCAAGAAGGGCACCGCCTGCGCCACCGCCGCCACCACCTCCGCCTGGAAGGCCTGTGCCGCCCAAGGAGCTTGTTGTTGCTCTTGACTGGCACGGAGTTCTTGACGTTGGGCAGCAGGGACCCC